AGATTGCCAAGACTTTGATTCTTCATTCCTCTGGGCTCCCAGCGCCCCAGAACCCCGAAAGTGCCAGGATCCATGACTCCTTGGTAATACGCACTACGGCGTGACCCTGGAGCTGTGAAGCCAAATGAGCTATACAAAAAGGACTCTGCAAGCCTTAAAATCCCCCAAAACACACACATGAGCTGGTAGTAAAACCTGCACAATTAGATCAGAAGCTTACCTACGGTTTGTCAGAAGTTTGCAAAAAAATGAGACACATCTCAAAACCAGCAAGAAACAGACATTTTTTCCACAGAAAACCAGATCACTAAAAAAATTCCTAGCACGCTTCAAAGCCACAATCAGTAACTAAGCAGAAATCTAGCTTTAGGTTGGAAAAGGGACTTTGATCTTTGTTGGTCATTTAGGGGCTTCCACAGCTCCTGTGCTGGGGAGCAGCACAGGTCACAGATGACTCCCATTAATCTAACGGCTCCCGGTGTGAGAGAGAGAGAGGAGAGAGGCAGCTACGTGCTACCCTTTGCTCCAGGATGAGCTTAGTAACACAAAAAAAAGTATCAGATATAGAACAGAAAGACCAGGTAGTTTGCAGTTTAGTAGTTACTATGTTTGGCTACGCATATAGACCTAGCACAGGTCAAACCCACTTAAGATCTGTGTATTTCTATTTAATGGGACTAGCAGCCCTACGTTAGCTTTTTTCCCACGTGTTCTTATGCAAAAATATGCCATTTCATCGTATGTCAAATGTACTGTGGATGCTGCTGGAAAACTATTTAACTGAATTAGTTTATGAGGCAGCACTTGGGTTACATAAAATAATGTTACATATTAAATCTCTATTTTATGCCAGGTAATCTCTTTCCATTAAGAGAAGTCTCTCTTTGTGGAATATATCTTATTTTATCAGCCTGAACTTCAGCTGATTTTCTTTTTTTGCCTCTCTTTGTCCAGGTCGACCTTGCTTCGGGGCGAACTTTCAAAACTCATGTGCCATGTGCCCACCAGAACTGGAAGCATCTAGCAAGGTGAGTGCTGAGAGTGCTCTACATGTTCTTATACCCATAAGAATGAAACAAAGCAAGGGAAAGCCTTAATTTCCTTCCCTTCTCAAAACCCTGAAAAAGCATCCATTTATTTTTCCTGACCCAAAGACAGTATGTTCAGAAGAAGCTAAACAGAGTATCTATGCAGTTACCTCAGTGCTGTTATCCTGCATGTAGACTCAACACATCACCTCTTATCATGGAGCTGACAGAAAGCTCACTTAAATCAATGAGAGTTCTTCTGTGAACGTCAGTGAGCTTTGGATTAGACGAATCTTGTACAGGAGCAATACCTGAGCCCCCAGGTAGGAACATATTCCAAAATGTTTAGAAAGAACCTTTTACTTGCTTAGTACTTGAACCTTTTAAATCAGGGGTAGGAAAAGAAAAAGTGCCAAGAACAAGCCTTTTCTGACATTACCTTCGTTTCCTTAATGTTGCGTATTTTAATAGTAGGTAGAACAGATGGTGAAATATAATCTCTCCACTGAGAACTAAATGACAGTGACTAGCTGTAGGGGACACTAAAGTATTAAAAAGAAGGAAATGTACAAATAATGGAAGTACATTTTGTCCAACTTGCTTTTGATGAGGCATAAAATAAAATGTAAATAATTTCTATTAGGAGGAAATTAACATAATGACTTTGGTATTTGCAATCAGAGTTAGGTTGCATTATATAACCTGGATTTCCAACTGAGGTAGCGCAATACCATTTACCTGGATTTGAAGTAAGGATTATATCAATTCTATTTTCACCGTCAGTAATAAAGCACAAAACCGATACCATTAACACGACTGATAATAAAGAGATGTGATTAGTCTCAACTTGGATAAGCAATTAAAAAAAAAAAAAAAAGGAGAGGAAATGTTGTTTAGCTGTATATGAACAAAGAGGTTCTATTAACCTGGGTGTGCAGTGAAGAAGTGTCAATATTGCTAACACAGGTTTGCAATTAAGTTGGTATCAATGTGGCTGGGAAAATGAGTTCATAATTAGGACTACACAGTTAGTATTGACCTGAATTTTCAATAAAAATCATGTCTGTGTTTTAATTTGGAACTGTAAAATTCATCCCTGTGCTCTACAAATGACTATATAATTATTAACTTTACAATTAGAGAATTATTTACATAATATGTTATATTTTATATAATCATGTGCCTGTTACAAATGGCGAGCTGAATGTAGGGTTCCCAGAAGTGTCTGACACTTAAAATGAAACTTCTACATTTCTTTGCAAAACCATTCCTACTGACTTAAATACTTTGCTCCCAGAAAAAATTACTGCTTCAGCAAGACTCTGTGCTCCTCCTCCAAATATTGGGTTTTTTTTAATTAGAATTACTAGTTTTAGTTAATTACTAGTTAAATCTCTATTAATGACCTCACAAATAATTATCATACCCATTTATTGTAAATACTCTCGATGCTTCTAGTGAACATGATCAAGAGGGTACTTAAACGGACATAAATTGGTTGTTTAATCAGCCTTATGCACTTTAATGCAGAAAACCAACGAGAAGAGTATTTATTTTAAAGTCACTTTAGAACCTGAGTGTGCGCTTTTTTGCACTTATTTTCCTATATAAATCCAAGTCCAATATATCAAAACAACACTCAAGAACAGGCAAAATAGGATTTTTCTTAGGGAAAAAAAAAAACAAACCAAAAAACACTTTTATGTGCTCTTTCAATGTTTCCTCACAATAGAAAAGGAGAACATGAGCCCAGCAGCATTCTCTGTCTCAATCTATTTTATAAGTAGCCTCACCTCCTTCTTCTTCTTCTTTTCCTCCTTCTTCTTTTTCCTCTGCACCATGAATCAAAGGTATCTCAACTTCTGTTGTGTCTTCTTGGTTCAACAATGGCTCTGAATAAATTTGATAAAAAGAAGATGAACAGTAAGGCTTTTCAGACTGGACATAAAAGGATTAACATACACTAGAGAGATTACCATTAAAAACACTGGCAGAGGAAAAGGATCCTTTTCCCCAAGAGTACAGATACAAAAGCTGTCTCAGGGAAATCCAAGGGGCTGTAGTTGAGAGCAAGGCCTTGATCCTCCAAGATGCTGAGCTTTCTGGGATTTAGCACAAAAACCCCACCCCAAGCACGGGCCTTCACCAGCACTCATCGCAAGCCCAGAGACACACGTACGCAAGTGTTTTTCCAGACGGGGGACAGAGCATTCGGTGCTCTGAATATACAGGGCTGAAGTGCTTGTCATCAGGAATAAGTAATGCAATGTTCACTTCTTTCTCTAACAGTCGCAGTCATTAAAAAGTCAGCTTTTCTCACTGAGAATCCACAGATACTCCCCTGCTCAGGGTTGAATTAGAGTTACCATAAGAAGATCCAACTCCACAGATTTAGCTTAGTAGGTAAGGAGAAAGAAAGGGAACTTAAACACTACTGATAACATCTGAGCAATAACTAGTGGTTTTGCCTGTTCATCTTGCTCTTTGGTTTCAAGGCATGTGCACTACCTTCTATTTCCATGCAGGAGCTTTGGGAATCTGCCCCAGGTTTCATCTCCTCCTCTGCAGAAACATCCTGTTGTCCTGTTAACGTGACAAATTGAAAATGACGTCAGCACAATGGCTGCGTGCAGGCAACAGCAAGTTTGTCAAAACAGGACACGAACCTAACATGCAGCACAGTCCTTTTCAGCCAAATACTGCTTCTTTTCTATTAAACGAAGAATGCTGAAATTATTTTATATATGAAAATATCACTTAAACTCTAAGCATTAAGTATGTTAAATGGCTGGTCAAAACTGATCCTGAATCAACCTTTTTTTTCTTCTTCTTCTGTAGCTCAGCCCTGACACACCGATTCTCATAGGAGCTGTTGCAAAGCGCTCACACTTGACAGTCGACTTCGCAGAAGGAACAGAATCACCCCACAGGCTTTTAGAACAACAATGACAAAGGACAATAACAACAATGCTGTGCACCCAGGACCAATATGGTTAAACCCACATATTTGGAGATGTGTGTCTTTTCCAGCAACATCAGAGATTACCGCACCACAACTGGCTGGCACATAACCTCTGCTAGCCGACAGTGTTTTCTCAAGGCAGCAGATGTCAGGCTGAAAACCACTGGATGCTGAAACTGAAAGAACTAAGGTTCCCAACTGGTTCATTATCTCTGTCTTAAAAGAATTTTGATACAAAACTTACCTTCGGCTTGATCTTGTTCACATCCCACAGGATGAGCTGGGTCACTCTCCTGTGCACCTTTGGGGTCTTTCAGGGAGTCTGCGGAAACAGCAAACAAACAAACAAATCCTGCAGCGGTTTTCATGCTGGAGAAGTCTGGTAGTTACTTCAGACACAGGTAGTCCTTAGGTGCTAGCTTCATATCTGGCATTCTGATACAGTGACAGATTTTCTATCTGTTTAACTACAGACATATATACTACAAAAGTATACTCATGGGTTTCAATTATTCAAATTGATTTCAAAATCTGTACACTTACTGAGCAGTTTTTTGCCTGCAGTACAAACCTTAAACAAGGAGCTGGCAAGAAAGGGCGCGTAAGAATAAGCAACAGTGCTACTGAGAATTTTATTTCTAATGAACGGAGTGGCACAAAGCTATAGGAAACAGCACAAAGCACCTACTTGATAAATAAAGTGATTTCTTATTTATTTAGAACAACGCCAGTACTTGTCATGGTTGGACTTCCACAAGCTTGACAAACGTTAAGTCCTATAAATCCCAGTGCAAATCCTAGCCTCATTTCACTTGATGACAGAACTCCCAAGGTCATTATCGTGGCCATGCTTTACCTTTTGGGGGAGACCAGCAAAATGAACTGCCCAAAGCCGTAGCCTGAACCAGTGGCACAGTGAGGTTTAAATTACATGACGTAAGTCCAATCGCTGTGCCATCTGCAGTCTTCATAAACACAGGGCATTATTTTGTTGTGTTGAACGACGTTTTCTGACAACAGCCACTCCTTAGTTTTCGCGTGGGGAAATCACAGCAACGCAGCCACCCGGTTTAAGTCTGCTCATCTGCATAGGACACAGCTTTCAGTGGATAAAGAGCTGCCTTTGAGCCTTGTTAAAAAACACCGCTGATCTAACTGGACATTTCTGCAAACTACAGGGGTAAGTACGCTTGAGGTCAAAACAACGGTAACAGATAATCACTGTTTGTGTTCCAGAGTGAAACGCTTTCTAAAATGCTGCTGGATGGAAAACTTAAGTAACAGTGTGTGCCAAAAGATCTATGGTGCATGATAATAAATTACGCTATGACAGTCTTGTTACGGCTCTACCTCTAGAAGGTCCCTTTCTACAATATAGCAGAGCAAATCTTACAATATACCAAACGATGCCCCTGTAAAACCCTGTTCCTGAAACTTGCCAAGAATAATCTCTAATGGATAAGTGAGAAAGCTGGGTTGTTAACATCTGATCCAAACTTAATAATCTGTAGAAAAGGTATACACTGAAAGTGTGTGGCTTTAATTAACTGCAAATAATCCCCCAAGGCAAATATTTAATTACCTGCACAGCTTCCTACTTCTTTCATGGCATGACAATAAGCTTATAAATCCAAGTTTGAAAGCAGAATATCTCACTGATGTAAAATCTGCTAAAATTTGTCCTTGCTGCACTTTTTTTCACCCTACTGTGGACTTAAAATACTACTCACTGCTATCAGCTGGACCACTGTGCTGGGCTTTCATACTAGGATGCCACATTATGCTATGAGTTGCAAGGGATTACCCTATCAGCCCGAATCAGAGCAAATATAAATTAGAATTTCATCAAATTCCAAGCTTAATCAAAAAGCGAGCTGAAGGACCTCTTGGTATAAATGGGAATGGCACTGAAAATCTGTAGGGAATTTTTCAAGCAAACTTTAAACCCATTGAGTGAAATTCTGGCTTTGCTGAAGTTTTTGACAAAGCTTTCAGGATATCAAACAAGCCAAGATTTGTACCACCGTACCTTAAATTAACATAAACTTTTCCGGTGTGGTTTAGTTGCATGTTTGTAAAAGGAACTGTACTGACAAAGCTGGAATCAGAAGTCCTGTGCCTTAAGTACCGTGCAGCCAGGGCCTGAACGCAGCCCTTCAAACAGCCCAAAGTGATGATAAAGTGTGATATTACCTGCTACGGGCAGGAGAGATGCACGCGGCTCTGTCCCACCAGGCCCTTAGAGCTATCTTATCCTACGCCTATTGCACAGTACTTCATACTCCCAGACCTGTGCCTTTAATCTCAGTTCACAGGTGCCACCTTTTCTCCTAGAATGAGGAATGACTCCAATTTCATGCAAAAATCAATCCCCAGCATCAGAGGAGCAATTATGTGCTTTGGTCAATAACAACAAATGGAGTTTAAGGAGCCCCGTGCTCGGCTGATGTATGCGCCCCATCACGCTGCAGTTTGTTGTGGAGCATCATGTAGCTTATGGCAAACTACGGTTATTGCACAGTGTGGGGAGTTGTTGCTACTCCCACCCTTTGGCACAGCTGGCAGTTTGACCCCACAGCTGCGCTGAGCGCCAGCGTTAGGCACCACAGCTGGAGACCACCTATGCTATTTGGCACATCTTCACACATTCCCGTAGCTGGCTCTGCACAGTTTATTCTTATGGGATTGTAAATTTGTGTTAAACTTTCATTTTGGTCATAAACAGTTTTCTAATTGTTCCAGGGTTCAAGAAAGCAATTTAAAAATGGCACAGGAATCCAAATTATCGCAGGCAACATACAATGATAATTTTGCACAAGTTATTTTTTGTAAAGAGTGTTTCTGAAAAGAGTAGAACATGGACAGGAGTTACTGCCTAGTTGTAAGAGTTCACGGCTCTTATTTCAGCAGTTGAAATCAGCTGTGGCATTCGTATGCAGATGCTGAGTTTCAAAATCTTTGAGGTCAAGACCATACCAAAGATTTCTTCTTTTCAAACGCAAATATTAGATCAAATATTCAAGCCAAAAGGTCCAAAGACAGATTTACTTTTAGGATTAACAAGAATAAAATAAAGCAAAGGAATAAATCCAGATTTATGAAGAAAATCTGAGCCAAGCAAGAGTAAAAGCATAAGACCAAATGCACCGGTCAATAAAAGCTGTTCTGAAATTGGATATGAGGCAAGCGTGCCACCTCCATTTCAGCTGGCAAGCAGTGGTGGAAATCCCAGAAACGCTGATGATGCACTGCTTTCTGTGTGCAAGTTTTCAGTAGGGTAGTGGTATTCCTTGGCCTTAGCTGGCCCTCTGTGCTCGCTTAGCCCTTTAGAGCCTTATGCAACTGGGCATAAGCCAGTATCATAGCCCTAAACGATTCCAGGGTCTACAAAAGCTCTGGCCATCCCTAAAGCCTTTGTTCATCCCTAATTGGCTACGGAACTAACTGTGATTTTTTAAATGGCATAAAGCAGTGTTCGTCTTTTCCTACTACTTATCTGTTAAGTCGTACTGGAGAATCCAAGTCAGGATATTATTTCATAGCACAGTATGCTTAGTTTTTTGATAACACATGCTGAGCACTATTTACCTTGGGTAACCACAAATTGGGACTGCAAGGGTTAACATTCCTCCAGGCAGGACTCAAAATAATCAGTGTTTCTGACACCAAACTGGAGCACAGTTCCTAATGTCATCATTGATCACACACGAATGAACCAAAGATGACATTTAATGACATAAATGAACCAAAGATAGGCCACTTCTATCTACCGCACATCAAGCATTGAAGTGCTCATTGAAGTCTGAGCATCCCTCAGTTCCTTCAAACCTGCTTTTATTTGGTGGCTGCGGTGACAGTGTCCACGTCAGGAGCACTTGGCTCTGCACCCCTCCATTGTATTGAAACAACTGTCTCATGGGGCTGCGGGGTTGAATGCACCTGGGAATTACCCCCAACCTTTAACAACCCGTGAAGAAAACATCTGGACTTTAAGTAAGCCGATCAGAATACTCCCCAAGTATATTCACTGTTCCAATATATCAACTGTATGTTGAATTCAGCTCCAAGAAAACCATCTAGCTTGCAATGAACTATCAATCCTACCCTTCCTGCCAATAATCAGACACTATTTTGTCTGAATACTGCATAAACCCCCATACTTTTCCATGCCATTCTTTTTTTTTTTTTTTTTTGACTGTACAAAGCAACGCTGCTCAGACAAAATTTTGCAAATGCTAAGGAAGAGGAGAAATGGTAAGATCTGAATGTTAAGTGGTTTTAATGATCTTTTAAAATTCACTTCCCCAGCTACTCTCTGTATGGCTTATTTACTGAGTCGTTTCTAATGTGCAACACACCTGGGTCCTGCATACAGCATAGATAAATCACCATGTTTTAGGGAACTGTAAGAAGATTAAAGAGGGAAAAAGCTGGTCATTATGAAAGAAACAGGTTCAGTGCATTTTATTTTTTAAGCATGATACTGTGAAAAATGGCTGGAATATTTCCAGAGTGAAAGAAATCAAGCAGGCGTCTAAAATTACAGGTAATGGTGTGCACGGAGGCTGCCACATGATTAGGGTATTCTTTTGCCTCATAAACCGAGGAAAATGTGTTAAAATGAAGTACTATAAAATGGTGATTTATGAGAAGTTAGGGAGAGATTCTTGAGCTTTGACTTTAAAATGTTATTTTTATATCCACCAAGATTTCATTTTAATCTATCTTTATGACAGATTAGATTTATTGGAGACCAAGTTTATACGGCTTGGTAAAACAGACCTTTTTAGGTGCAACAACCTGTAGAGGTATTTTTGCAAGTGTTCGGGTAATAGACCAGGCTGTTCATCTCCGCAGGTGGGGTCCACCGGGTAATGCTCCCACCCGCTCGTGCTTTGAGCTGACAGAAGGGCATCTCGTCTAACCTCGCCTTCTGTCCACATGAGAAATTTCAGGTGCAGCTGGTATGATAACCCTGGGCATCCTGCTGCTGCCGGCAGGGGCAGGGCCTGTTATACAGGGCACTGGGAAAGGAAAAAGCTGAGAAAAACCTGGCTGCCTCGGCTAAACCCTTCCCAGAAGAAGATGCCGCACGGCTGAAGGTAAGGGTTGAGGGGGAGAGATGGAAGGAGTGGGTGCTCGCATCGGACTGACGGGAGCGCAGCTGGATAGCTCCAGGTCAGCTAATACTTAAAAATAAGTAGGATCTAAATAAACCAGCTAAGTAGATTAGTGTCAGCTGTTGCGGCTGCCTGTACTGGCGAAGGGTAGAGCAGAAATACCTCTTGAGTAGTTTACGGTCTGGACCCCGTCTGGATGCGCAATGCTACAGATAGGTCAGACTGAAAGGAAAAGCAAATAACCCGCATTATGTACAGCTCAAAGTGACCATTATGGAGGGTGTTAGGAGAACAGGCGCTTGGTTGGATGGTGATGGTTATATACCTGGTTTAAAAAAAAACCAAACCACACCATTTAGCTTGTGTTAGCCAATTTGCTTTCATAGAAATACTTCTAACCAAGGGTGAGAAAAATGTTATCACTCTAGCTGGCATGCAGAGCCACAGCTACGGTTGGGGGTGTTGAAACTCCTCCATTAAAAAGGTTCTTTTTCAGTTACCTATAATTGAAATTTTTCAGGCTGAAATTTTCCAGGTCTAATCATAGCCCAAGGGTGAAGTAAAAACATTTCATTGGTAGCTGCTGAGTGCTCAGCAATTCTGAAAATCAGGTCATTCATTTAGATGTCTTAATATATACTTAAGACCTGATTTTAAACACCTCTTTTTGAACATATTAGCGTTTCAGTCAATCTTTTTCACCCACTTATCAATGTCTAATTTACGTCAATTCGCACAGCTCCCCTGCATTTGAAATGCTCTATCTTTCAGTTTATCCCTTCTCAATCATTTATGTCTTTAGGACATCAAGATTTTTCCATGGTGAGAACTACAGCTGGCCAAACAGGAATTTTATATCTATTATGTTTTACAGGCAGGATACTTACAGGCTTCTGGGTTGCACAAAGTGAGTTTTTAGGGCTAACCCCTAGCCAAGGCATATACGTAGTTCTGTTTCTGACAACATAAACCCTCCAGCTGACTGAATCTGACTCCATGTAGAAAAATAGTTACTTGCTTAAAATGGCACTTCCACAGGAGCACAGACTTTGGTGAACACCTGGAAATAATTAATCGCTACTTTATTTTTTAAATTAATTAGCATATGATTTAATTTAGTTGACCTTCAAATGAAAATTCAGTTCTTATTAAGTGCTAATGAATTAAAATCAGCGTATTGTGCACAGAAACTTTGCCATGATTGCATAATGGGGAGTTCATTCTTCACCTGTACTAAATCCAGGTCCTTTTTTCATTTTTCTACCAGAAAGCCCTATCATTAAACCAGGTTAAATAGTAATTGGTAGGACAGGTAACTGAGATGAAGATGCAGAACACTCTCTCACACACACACACGCATGTGCACGCACACATACTCTTTTTAAAAAAAAAAAAGAAAATCACAGGTTCAAACCAGTCCACAGCTACCTACAATACGGTCCATTTAAAATGAGTCTGTAGTCCCAGCACAATCTTCTATGGACAGGCATACTAGACTGAGTGCAGCCTGATATGTGTTTTATCTACTGCATAAACATTAATGACTTTAATCACTTTGTTCTGCCCTTACACTTCATAAAGAGAAGCATCTCTAACTTGAAATACGCCGTGTATAAAGGATCTACTTCCATATGCACAGTAATGAAGCTCTACGCAGGTGCTGCCTAGAGATGTCAGCTCTCCCCCCAAGAGCTAATAGTTATGCATGCAAGTTTTCAGGGGTAAAATTGCAACATTTCTTTGCGGTATTTCCAGACAGTGGAAATAGAAACTTGGCACAGACTGGAATAAGAGGATACCTCCCCAGCATAACATCAAACATCTTGATATTCTTGGAATATGACTGCTCTGCTTTTTTTTTTTTCCTGAGGACAGGAAAAATCCAGTCTGCTCAAAGGCCACATGCAAACTGGGCCCATGTGGACCTTTTTGCTGGACAGTGTCTCTTCTATTGTGAATAACAGAAGAGATACACTTTCACATTAATACGGGATTTGTCATCTCATAGTAGGTTTTCATTTTAACCGGAGCCCCTCAAAACATGATTCCTGCACTGTTCCATGCACTTATCACAAAACATCCCCTTTCATGTTCCCATCCTTCCCCTTTTTCTTTAAAAAAAACCTGATAAAGACGACTCAGGTAAGACAAAAATACTAGAACTTCATGGTAGCAGAGATGCATGTGCTCTGGGTTGAATATCACCATGTTTTAGAACAATAAATAACTATTTCAATGTGTTTGCTATATTCTAATCCCAGAAATATGAGAAAAAATAAGCAGAAAAACTACTAGTCAACTCTAATTGGAGTCAAAATACTTGTTTTGGTGCACTCACCAGAACTGACATTTGAAAGACTGCTATACTTCCATAGTAGGCTTGGAAACCTATTCCGAGTGGTTTAAACTACGCATTTTGGGACTATGCAGCCTAGACTTATTTGCCACAAATCTCCTTTTCACAGTAATTAGGTGGAATGAGTGGAAAAACATAATTTCTTTAAATGCTTTACATCCAGTTCATTTAGTAGAAGATAAACTACAGAAATGAGCATGTTCCAGAACCTGGCAGGTTTTAGCTGTGTTAACTCAGTGGGCAAACAATTTGAAGGCTGAAATTTATTTCGGGAGCAGCAGGTGTTTTCACAAATGCCAGGGTTTTGTAAAAGTGCCATTTCCCAAGCGGTAGCAAGTTTTTTGTAACATTAGTATTCATTTTAAAACAACTCAAAACCTAAGATCTGAAAAGTTGAAAATCTACTAATGGAAATAAGGATTAAAACCACGGCCTGGTGGACACGGCAGCCTCATCGTTCAAAATTCTTGGTTACATTTAAAAAACGAGCAAGCAAATCCCAAAACATGTTCTTTCCCCCACCGCTTCTTTTTTCTAGTTGTATGACTTTACAAACAAAATATACAGAGGAGAGTTTGTCTCGCTCCTTTTTCCCCACCAGATGCTTTTTGTCTTACTTTTGAGGAGAGGTAGGACATCAAAGAGAAACTACCCTTTGGATTCCTCGGGGCACTATCTCTTCTGTCAACCTCTCAAGAGAAGAGGGGAAAACACTATACTCTTAGTATATTACAGGAAAAGTGAGACATATAGCACCAAGATGGCTACTTTCCCGAGAGAAGACAGCTAATACAATGGGTCAAAAAGATGGAGTGGTTACACATTGAGATGGTCACTGAAAAGCACATCAGAAGACACTGGCTTCATAGTCAGGAACGAGCACTCAAAGCAATGCCAAAGCATTGGGATCTTCAGCAAGACTACAGACAGCAAAAAAAAATTCCAAACCCAAAGCTTCACTGTGACCCTCACATTACGAAACATAAAAAACACATTTGATGGGGGATTTTATAGATACAGTATACATAAACAGGCCAAATGTCAGCAAAAAAAGAGAAATGAATGACAGGCAATCACCAGCTACACTGAGCCTGAATCTATCACTGTTTTGCCTTCCACTAGCTTTGCCACGACCTTAATCTGTGAAGATATCAAAAGCAAAAGCCAGTGCTCTGACAAGGGTTTGCGGCTTTTTTTCCCTGCAGGATCAATCAATCAGTTAAGAGAGCACTTAAATCAACCTGCACAAGGCTTTGAACTCATAATCAGGTAAGTATGTGGGCTCTCTAGCATGTGTCTTTGGAAGAAAAGGGCAAGATCTCACACCCCGTCACACTTATCTAGAAAAATGAGAAGAGAGTCAAGCAGCGACACTGAATTAAACATTAAATCTTTTAAAATAAATAAGTTAATGGATGTTAATAATTATGTTATCTCAGTAAAATGCATTAAAATTTTCTATTAGTCTTTCTTGAAGGCTGTACTGATGGACTGTATTTATTATAGATAGCATAACTCCTGTTTTGAATTACCAGTAGCGAACATTTTATAAATCACCCAGGCTTTTTCCTGACGTACCCCTACAAAAATGCCAAAAACCATAGACCGGCATAAGCAATTAATAGTGTGATATCATAAGAGTATCAAAAACAGTACGTCTGTGCACTGGTTCCTATCTGTAAACCAACAACTCCACAGGAAAAATCTCAGCTTGAAACATTTAAATTAGATCATCTCTCTTTCTTGTTTCCTAAACTCCCTGTCATTTGGCCCTATGACACTTTTAAATATTTATCACAAACTAAATGATCTGAGTGCCCAGCACAGTCTGCACAAGATAAACATTACTTTCTCCCTCCCAATTATGACTTCATCTCCTCCTGTCTCCTCTTGATGTGTTTATAGCTATTGTGTTTTTCTTTTTCCCCATCAGGAGAGCACCGAATAGGGAGCTAATATTGCCGAGATAGATGCGCATGCTTAACTTTACGCCTGTGAGTCACCCCAGCGAGCCCAAGCTTTGGGCTTATTTCTGGTATGTCATGTATGATATTTTAGTACTACCTCTGTAACAAGGGGACTTAGGAATTCACGGTATCTCTCCTACCAGCACAACAGCTGGTGCCGAGTACTTCATTACAAAGACTTTTGTAAATGAAAATCCAAGCATTTATGTATTTCTGTATTGTTTAACTGTGATTTTGGCAATTTCCAGACAAAGGAAAATAAGGCTTTACGAAATGTCCTCTTGGGACTGGATATTTTGAAATACAATTTACAATCTGTACCTTTATCCTCACTCAGCTCTGTTTCTTCTGATGATGATAGGCTGGCTACAGCTGAAGGTTTCATCTCATCTATAAGAACCAAGGAAATGAAAGAGAAGTTATTCATGAGATAGCAAACTGATGAACCACTTTACTGAAAAAAAAGTGTTACGTCTTATTGAGGCGAGATACTAGACCTGAATTTGATTTACTGGGCTTCCATCCATTCACGTTGCATTTGCCGGCCATTACTGGTCTGATTGTCTTCCCTAAGCCAGGGGTAAACTTACATTACAATACTGCCAGATAAACTCCATATTTCAATTTATCATAATACAGAGAGAGGCACAGCTATCAGTTTCATGGGTAGGCTGGTGTTGCTATTTGCTCCGAGATTCCTTTTTTAATTTAATCCATCTATTTTGAGAAAAAACAATTAAGCCATTCTTATCTTTAATCATGTCCATGAATCCCATTGGAATCAAAATGATTACATGCAAATGCTTTCCTGAAAATAGAAGCTTTCATGAATCAGGCCTGAAATTTAGCAAGTCCCTGAAAATCTGTGGGTTGGAGTTTTTTAACAGTAGAGCATGCAGGTAAAACCATCATAGCTAATAGATAAAACTAGTACCTGAATTTAATAGAATTTTTCAACTTTCACTGTTGCTTTTTCTTGGAAATTTTTACAGTTCTAAAACCTTTCTAAGCCTTTTTTTTTCATTTCTAGCCTTTCATTTCTTTCAAAAGACTTGCCTCTGATGATTCTCACAAAATTTTCTTCCTAATATAGTCATCGAGTATTTTTAAGTACCTTGAAACAAGAGCTCTGAACCACCTGCCATTTTGTTTTCCCACATGTTAACTGTGAAGTTCACTGATGATAGACTGGAGGCCAGACTTTAAAAAAACCACACAGTAATAGCTGAAAAATTTCAGGCCAGTCTTTATACACTATAACTGTTTTTTTCACTACTGTATAACAAGAATATATAAATCTTTATGTAATGGACTGGGTAATACAGTGTCTATTTGTTCTCCTACATTTTCTTTCACAATATCAAAGTATATGATTTGCAATTTGTCCCACTCAGATGAAGGTTATGCCTTTTGGTTTAGAAAATACAAATAAGAACTTTAACATTTGATGGGATTGCTCCTTACAGTGATCATTCATACAGATTAGAAACTCTTTTAGGCACACAACTGCATATCTTAGAAAATCCGCTCATTTCCTACTGCCAAGAAAGGACACAGAAGCAGCAATCTAAAAGTTCCTGATGATGTTTTGCCTCTGCAATGAGTAGAGTGGAAAGCAGCACCAACTCATTAACTGAATGTAACTAACTCAAGGTAATTGTATACCTCTCTGTTCTTGTCACCATGTGAACCAGTAGGGATAAACGTTAAGCCAAATATTTTTTTCTTGTAACACTGTGTGCCTGTGGCCAAGGAGGTGATTCATGGACTACGCGTAGGCACAATGCTATCTTTAGGCATGTACCTAAAACACGTTCCTAAAATATGACATTTTCTGGATCTGGGACCTAAAATGTCTGGATCTTTTCTTTGACACTCTTCATGAGAGTAACAAAACATGACTACCAATATGAGATAGCAAAAGAATGTACATCATGGCTCTGATAAACCAGCTCTGACAGCTCGTAACGTAACAAGTCATAATGACGGTTTTGGGAAAAACGCAATGCATTTAAGACGCCTCCAGTAGCAAAGTAATAATTTAGAGAGGTACCTATTCCTTAATTCTCTTGGGAAAAATGAAAAGTACCTCATTCAATTGAGCTGTTTTGCGAATCAAAATACCAGGGAAATACGCACCCCATCAGAACGAATATGGCTGACAAGTACAACGGGCTGTATTTGGCATCTGTAGACAGTAGTATTAACCAGGTTTAACAGGAACCTCTGCAGCTGGAGCTAGGAGCTCCTAGCAGTACTAGCTCTTAGGTGAGCTAGCAGCCAAGCAGTACTTGGTACGGGTAAAAGCTCAAGATTGCTTAGGCAAAGATATGCCCCTGCCTTATCAGAGATTCAAAACAGAGTCTTGATTCAGACAGAGCAACTCACTCCTCCCTTCTCCCTTTCGCCTGTTTAAAATATGACTAGCATAAAAGTGAAAAACCCAGGAAAGGAAACATGGTTGTCCTCCAGCATTTACAAAATAGCACTGCATGCTTATCTTGGGGAGGATAAAGGGCCTAGGTCTAGTTTGCTGAGGTCCATGGGAATCTTTTTTATTCTGTAATATTGCGTGCCTATAGCTTTACTTTCCCACTGCTTGCCCTGTGCGAGGACATGAAGAAGAGGTGATAAAAAGGACATGAAACATAGAAGGACTTCAAGCACTTGCGGACAGCATCAGCTGTTAACACCCAGTTGCAGAAGACTGACCTGTGGAGTGCAGGGAGAAATGCTGCACTTCCACATACACAGTGCCCAGTGCATAGGACAAAAAGAAGGACCCTCATCAAATGAATTCCGCATGTGGAAACAGCCACCATGCGTTAAGCAAACCAGATAAGTCAAGAATCTAGGCCTTCTAAATTTTTTTGCTGCATTTACTGGCTGGCCTTTTTCAGCTCAATCTTCAATTCTGATTTAAAAAAAAAAAAAAAAAAAAAAAGTTCTGACGAAAACTGTTTCACACTCTCTGGATTAAGTGTGTGTAGGCAACATCCTGCACTACAATGAGAAAAAAAACAACCAAACAAGAAAAGCATTGTTTTACATGTAATACTACGCTAAAAGAAATCCTTAAGAAACAAGCGGATTTACAGACATTGTGAGTGTCTCTTCAGCTCTTTTGATAACTGATTAATTCTAGTTATCTTTTGCATTGAACAGAGTTGGGTAGGATGAAAAATACAACCATAAACACAAAAAAATAATAGAAAATCTATTGTGAACACAGTGACATTGTATTTTAAAATATTGAACTCGCTATAATTTATAAGCATGCCATCTGCAAAGCCCACTGCTTGTGAACTCTGACATTCATTCGCCATATATGGAATATCTTTGTGTACTGATTTAAGTCTTCATAACCCCTGAGACTTGTGTAGACAATTTATTAAAACTTGAAAATACCCTTTAAAATCTTCAGAAGTAGAGTTTTCATCAAAAGAAGTCTGCTTCCTTCTCCTCCAAATTTCCTTTTCCCCTATCTCTATTCTATGCAGAGGGCTACTCTGTTGTAGACAGAGGGAAAATTATTTCTTTCTAGTTAGAGGACTAGCTAGAGGTAGTCCACCTTAAAGGGCGAATGTAGAGCTGGTAAGCTGAAGAGGGGCGTCTGCATTCCTGAACTGCAATACATTCATTCATATTGAATGGAGGG